AATGATAACATTTTACACATATACTCCTTATCATTTATTTTCTATAGAGTGCATTTTAAGAACTCTTAAGGAAAAATGCACCGATGACTATGTTTTCATGTTGTAAGATTCTTAAACACAAAGTCTTTATTTTTTAAGAGCACTCATGATGTAAACAATTATGCTTACTCTACCATATAACATTAGGATGAAGAGTAATTGAGCTCTTGGATATTTTGAAAGCAAAATTAATTATAGTATTCGAGATCCCATTTTATCAACCTACTTGCACAAATTTATTTCAAAAATGAAATGAGGGCACAACATAGTCTTACATGTTTTCCCTGTGACATAATCTTACGTAAATATTCAGATATTTTCACATGTCTCAAATAGATGTATAGGAAAACTGTTTATGATAATACTCTAGCAAAAGCCCAGGATTGCTATTCCATATTATACTATAATTCTGCTTTTGCCCTATCTAGCACGATCCAATGAAACCCAAAGAGTCCTTGTGGTGCTCAAAGGCAGGAAGACAGAGAGTACAAGGCAGGTGCCAGGGAAAGGGAGAACAAAAGGGAGAAGAGAGAGATGGAGAGGAGTGGGGAGAAATAACATGCCATTAGGTGTGTTGGTTTTTTAAAAATTTGTTTATATTTAGGTTTTATTCACATGTCTTTCAAGTTTCTTTTCTCCAAACTGAAAAATAATTATCTTAATGAATCTGCTACAACTTATTTATAACTTCCTTAGGAATGTCTTATTATACTCTACTTGAGAAATGAGTCTAAAAGAGTTAGTATTTAACAGAAATACTGACTTTCTGGGCTAAAGGCATGCACACAGTGTATACAATTTTTAAAATTTCTTTTTACTGTGCCTATAATTCAAAATGCCATAAAAATGTTTAATGTCTTTTCCACACTAAATATACATGTTGCCCCATAATTTGCTTCAAAAATTTTAAAGGGATTATTCAAACGCAAATTATCCTAAAAGCAATGAAGGAGATGATTGTCAACAGTGAATTCACTCCCAGGATGCTGCTGCTGATTATCAATCAAATAATATAGGACTCTAAAGACTAAAGTTTCTTCTACCATCCCCATCCTCACTCTACTCCTCAAAAGTAATCACTTATACTAGTTTAGTGGAAATATCTCTAGATGTTTTCTAGACATTCAATAGATACATGTTCATCTCCTACTCTGTACCATGCACTGTTGTAGGTGCTGGTGATACAATAATGCTCAAAAAAAAAAAAAAAAAAAACAGACCAACTCTCTGCTTTCAAGGTCTTCACAGTTTAGTGGATGAAACATAAAGTGAATAAACAAACCAGTAAACATACAACATGATATCAAGTAATGGTAAGTGCTAAGAAGTTGATAGTAGGACAAAAAGACAGAATAGAGGTGTTTACTAGTTGAGTTGGGGGGGGGGCAGGGAAGCCTTCTTTACCTGAATACAGTGAGAAAATGATCCTCTCAAATATGGTAAGAGAGTCTAAACAAAGCAAACAGCAAGTGCAAAGACCCTAGAGCAGAAGTAAGCCTGGCAGGGTTGAGCACAGTAAGGAGGTCAGTATTGCTGGAACAAAATGCGTAAGGGGAAACTAGTTAGGAGATGAAGGTAAAGACAGCGCTTGTGATGAGCTATGTAGGACTTCATGAATTAGGCATTGACAAGGTCTGACTCTAAAAGAGGCATTCTGGCTGCCGAAGAGAGACTAAAGGGGGTCAGGACAAGAACTTGGAGACCAGTGGGAGGCTACTGCAGTTGGCCAGGAGAGAGATGATGGTGGCTTGGCTTCTCTCTCATTCATTGCTGGTAGGAATGCAAAACGGTACAGCCACCTTGGGATACAGTTTGGAAGTTTCTTTAAAAAACGAAACATACTCTTACCATATAATCCTACCATTGTGGTCCTTGGTATTTATTCAAATGAACTAGAAAAGTCTGCATACAACTATTTATAACAGTTTTTTTGTAGTTGTCAGAACTCGGAAGCAACCAAGATGACCATGGTTGAATGTATAAACAAACTAATATATCCATACAATAGATTATGATTCAGCAATAAAAAAAGAGCTATTAATACATGAAAAGACAGTTTGGTGTTTAGACATAATAGCTAAAAAGGCATTTTAGTTCCTTGCAAATGATTTTTATATTTCAAACCAGAAGTACAAGTGATGTTCTCTATTAAGTGAATATTAATATAATGCAGAGTTGTGCCTTTGTCATCTATCGGATTTATAATCCATGCGGGTAGTTACCACACAGTGTTCATGAATGATAGAAATATTCTATCTCCTTAGCCTTTATATTATTAGAAAGAGAGAATGAGAGAAAGAGAGAGAGAGAGATGGAAATTAATTTTAAGGAATTGGTTCACATGACTGTGGGGGCTGGTAAGATGGAAATCTTCAGAACAGGCTGACACTGGCTGGAAATTCTGGCAGGAGTAAATGTTAACAATCTTTAGTCTGAAAGCAGTCTGAAGGCAGAATTACTTCCTCTTAAGGGAAGCTCTGTTTTATCCCTTAAGGCCTTTAATTAATTGGATGAGCCCACTCACATTATGGAAGGTAATCTGCTTTACTCAAAGTCTACTGATTTGAATGTCAATCACATTTAAAAAAACACCTTGACAGCAACACTTAGACTGATCTTTGACCAAATAACGGGCACTATACCCTAGCCGTGGTTAACACATAAAATTAACCATTGAAGAGGTATTTGTTGCTTTTTCAAAATTTGCTTTTAGTTATAGAATAGCATATCTCATGCCTTCCTCTTTACACACTCCTTTATTCGTATATCCAAAAATGAATTCACATTACTCTTTCTCCAAGATTATATGTTCATTCCTTCTTAATGAATGGCATCATGCATCATGATTAAGAATAACCATATTACCAGACTCTTAAGTCTCATATCCCTATTTGATATCTCATTTCTGTATGCTGATTTTGTTGATGATCTGTCTTGGATTATTTATGAGTTTAGAACATACAGTCTTAAAGTCATCAACATCAAATTTTCAAAGAATCAATTGACCTCCATTACAATGTGTCTGTCATTCTACTTTGAGTAGCGGATAAAACAAGGCAGCAGGAGAATTCTTGGAGCTTGGTGACATCACAGGATTACACCTCAATGACTCCCATTCCACCTGTCCTGTTCTGTGGTTTTATCTGATCACTAGATAAGAAATAATGGAAATAGCATAAGCCCTGAATTTTCAGACCATGTAGTGTAGTGACTTGCTGCAATGGGCTAAATGGGCTAAAATGGACAAAACGCAAAAAAAAAAAAAAAATATTTTGCCTGGGGTTACAATGTCAGTGTATTAAGGATAAATCAAAACCACCCAAACATAAGTTCTAAAAGAAAGTTAAAAAAGATACAAAGTAAGTATTAATTAGCATTAACTTCCAGTTACTTAAGGCTCTTCTATCTTCATACGTATACATGTAGTTTTATAACTCCAGCACTTAAGATGTATATATTTTCTCATAAGTCATTTCATAAATGCATTTGTGTGGTAATACCATGAAAAGTAAATATTGGCAAGTGACTGTGCTCTGAATGTTTCTAGAAAAAAGCAGCACATAGAGGTCATCATATAACCTTTTTTTTTTTAGTTTTTTTAAATTAATTAATTTTTTTGATGTAGTGTTCCATGATTCATTGTTTGCGTATAACACCCAGTGCTCTATTCAATACATGCCCTCTTTAATACCCATTACCTTTTGAGACTCTTTCTGGCATCATTGGGTGCTGGTGGGTGGGCTTTCTACCTTTTTTGCCCTTTCCTTGGTTCCTGCCCTCTCAAGTTGGTGTGACTTGTCCTGGAGGCCTTAGCACACACTGTCATTCTGTCTTCCTTCCATCAGCTTATGATCCCTGGGCTTCACTCTGTACAAAGAGATTTACCTAAGCAAATGGAACCCCAAAGCCAAAACTAAAGTGCACTAAAAATAGCTCTGAGTTATCGGTGCGCTGACACGGATACAACAAAGTCAAGCGACAGACAAAGATGGCCTGTGTTCTTCCCAGAGGCAAAGCTCAATCGCTCGGTAGAGTGTTTTGTCATTTGTGGGGAGTCTTTCACACTGTCTTCCCTGTTCACACCTTTAGGAAGTTCTGGATCACTGGGGCTGACCAGCCTTAATGGCAGGTTCTACACCCCTCAGTCCAGTCAGTGTTGTCTATCTGGAGCTTCTAGAGGACAAGACAGCGTGGTGGTTTCACTTCCATTCACTCCCCCCTCGTGCATTTGATTTCCTCACCTGCACTTCTAAACACGCCTGGTCTCCACCCTCAAGACAGCATCCACACTTAACTCAGGGTGTCTCTCTCCCACTTCCGCTGGCTCTGTCACCTAAAATGAGCTTCCAAAATAATCTATTTTTATCTTTTTTCTTCACTTTTTTAACCTGTGATGTTGATCTCAGAATGAATATCTTTTAGAGTACTTGATAAATTGTTCTGTAAAATTTAGAGATAGCACTCAAGTAACACATGTGAATGACTTTTGTAGACTCCGAGGCCTTATGCAAGCAGCCTGTGCTAGCTCTATTATATATAAGCAAGATTAGTAAATGTGAGACGACTTTGATAGCTTCTACTCCCTGTTTTCTTTCCACTCCAGTTGCCTCCTTTCATAGCAGACATCTGCGTATGAACTCTCTTCTCCATTTTAGTTCTTTTCATTACCAGAATAGTGTATGAATTGGTACCTCCAGACCGGTATCACGGTATCACGTTTGGTAAGCTGCAAAAGCTTAAGTCCGTTAGTGCTTGCCTTTAGAAGATGATCAGTTTGAGAAATTCAGAGCTTTTCAAATGTTAATCCAATCATTTTTCCTTTCGTTTTTTTTTTTAAGTAGCTCGTATTAAGGGATGATCAGAGAGTGATTTGCTATATTTTCAATCCTATTGCAATGTTTGTTTTGTTATCAGATTTTCTTCACTTTTTCCTAAAGTTTAATCTGTATACATTTTTGTAGAAGACTGCTGGATACCGAAGATGAGCTCAGTGACATTCAGACAGATTCGGTCCCATCAGAAGTACGGGACTGGTTGGCGTCCACCTTCACAAGGAAAATGGGGATGATGAAAAAGAAATCTGAGGAAAAACCAAAATTTCGAAGCATTGTGCATGCTGTTCAAGCTGGAATTTTTGTGGAAAGGTAAGTGGAATTGTTAGTATCTCAAGATGATAACATTTGGAAGGCAGGAGATACACTCACCATATCAAAGTTATATGAGTCAAACATTTTACTTATTGAGGAACACTTCAATTATAAGTATACCCAGAATGAGCAAATTTAGAACTTTGTTATGAATTTGCCTTAACAAAAATGTTTTGTCCTGGGTTTATTACTTTTACTTCTTTTAAATTGACATAAAGACTGGGGCGCCTGGCTGGCTTAGTTGGTTATGCATCTGCCTTCGGCTCAGGTTATGATCTTAGGGTCCTGGGATAGAGCCCCACTCTGGCTCCCTGCTCAGCAGAGAGCCTGCTTTTCCCTCTGCCTACCGCTCTACCTACTTGTGCTCTCTCTCTCTCTGTCAAAGAAATAAATAAAATTAAATAAATAAATAAATAAATAAATAAATAAATAAATAAATAAATAAATTGATCTAAAGACTAAAAGCAAGGGTGCCTGGGTGGCTCAGGCGGTTGTGTCAGCCTTCAGCTCAGGTCATGATTCCAGGGTCCTGGGATAGAGCCCCACCTCGGGTTTCCTGCTCAGCTGGGAGCCTGCTTCTCCCTCTCCCTCTGCCCTTCCCCCCTGCTCACGCGCGCGCGCTCTCTCTCTCCCTTTCTCTTTCTTTCTCTCTCTCTCTCACTCACATGTGCAAATAAAATATTTTTTAAAAAGGAAAGACTAAAAGCAAAGACTTTTGAATGGCCAATGCCCTCCAATGTACCTTTGTGAGTAACTGTTTAAAAAATTATAGCATGTTCATGTGTTACACAACTAATTTTATTTGCATAAAATGTAACATTTCATAAAACAAATTCTGTACTACAAACTAAAATCAAACAGGCCTTTCTCTGCATTAAAGCAAAAAGACCATCCTCTTTCCATCACGGGAGAAAAGCTCCTTATGTCTGCTTTTGAAGAGCTTTTGACATTTCTGTCACTGAAGCAAGGAATACTTGATGACCCCTAGATGCTCCAAATCGAATCACCATAGTTTCTCATGTGAAATACATGTTAATGTGGCCTAATTTTATATGTGTTTAGCCCTTTAAGAATACAGCCTATTTTTCTGTCTCGGAAACAAGATGTTCCAGAATTAAAACTAAATAAAATACTTGAAATAAACACGTTACATCTGACAATTTTTGAAAACTAGTTACTAGAAATCGCTTAGATTAAAAATATTGCGTTATATTAAATTATATGTAAAAAGATGAAACATTTTCTAAACTAATAAAATTGAGGAAGAGAGTTTTTTTTTTGTCAGTGTGCTTACATTTAAGAGAGACCACATCATTTTTCATCTTCTGAGATCTCTATTATTTCTAATGAACATTATATACTTTAATTTTCCTCTGTTAAAGGAAAAATAGGAAACACATTTGGATTCCTAGAAATGTAAATGAGAATGCATTGCAAGAAATATTTGATACCATTTAAAAATAAAACTACAGCACATAAAACTTGACGTTTCTTGTTTTGTGCTTCTACTATTCACGGTAATAACCACTCAGTGATTATTTAAATTATTTCGAGTATTTATTAACCATATTTAATTGGCTTCGATAAAAGAATCCTCATAATAAGCAATTTGATTAGTGTGGTGAGGTGATACCCACACCCCCTTATAAGGTGCATAAACTGGTCTCAACTCTGCCAGGTGGGACCAGAAGTCTGCAATAGGGAAGCAGGGCTGGCGAGAAAGAATATCCATAACCATGTTGCCATTTTTTAAAAAAACAACTTAGGAAAGTGTATGACAGTTATTTATTTTCATTAACACCAAATTGAAAATATCTCAATAGTAGTTCAGAAAGTCAGTGAGAAAATCACCAATAAAAGAGAATATGTGTGATTTGCTGGAAGAATGTGTATTTTGTCTTTTTCAGGAAAATACTGTAGAACTTGGCAAACTAAAAAGGTTGCAAACTGTGGGAGTCAATTTCTATTTCCATCCAGTAAAAGATTAAGATTTCTGTAAAATATATTGATATGCTAAATTTTCATTTTTTTCATAAGCTACATAAAATATTTTATTTAATGGCCTGTAGAAATAGCAAATATACTTAAGGTAACTAAACTAGCAAGCAGTCTTGAAGAAATCAGTAAGTTACAAACATATGGAAATGAAATCTCTTTGATTACTCTTGTGTCCCCATTAGGAGGTGCATAAAAATAGGGGCATATGTTTATCTTGAATTTTCAAAATGATCATCTTCAATTTTGAAAATTAGAAAGCTTTCCTGAGTATTCTCTCAAGTCTCCCCTCCACAAGACTCCGTGCCTCCGCAGGTCCTGGCAATTCATTACCCAGAGATACCTTGAATCAGTTCACTTTCCCATCTCCCCTCCTGCAACCCCAGCCCCCAGCTCTGTCACCTGCCATCAGAAATATGACAGTAGCTTTCCAGCTGGGCCCCCCACTTCCTCAACTGCCATTTTCAAACAAGTCATTCTACAGTGACGTTTTAAAATATAAATTAGTCCCTGTCACTCCTAAGCTTAAAACCATCTGATGGTTTTCCATTTCACTTGGTATTAAGGGCGACTTCTCTACCATGGTTTTTCAGGATTCGGCACCTTTTTACCTTCTTGCCTCATCAAATGCTACCTTCATTTTTGAGCGAATATCTATCTTGCTCTGATTTCAACCCACATCCCTAACTCTTTCTCCCCTTGGGACCATACTGCTGTTATTCCCTCTACCAAAAATGATCTGCCCTGCCCTGCTCCTGGATGACCCTTCCTGTCTTTCCAGATACCTTCCCTTAGCACTCTGTACAGTGTACATCACTTTGTCTACCCTGACCAGTGGTTTACCTCACAGCAGTGAGTGCTGCTTGTTATCATGTATTTTTTTATTTATTGCCCCTCTTCACTGTTCAGTAAGCCTCACGAAAGCAGCAACTGCCTTTTTCTTGTTCGCCACTGGTCTCTTACCTAACGCAGTGTCTGAAATAAGATAGTTTTTGGTTTTTGTGGAGTTTTTTTGAGTTTTTGAATTACACACTGCAACTCTAGTAAAGACTTCCAAAAAGAGTCCCCCATATTTCCAGTTGGACATTCACCACTTGCAGGAGCCCAGGAAATTCATTGTTCTTTTTCAGCAGCTTGTAATATATCTGCGATTTACTCAAGTGTGAGGTGGCTGTGTTAAGGTCTCCCCCACACGGATTCTGAACCGTCATCTTCATTTTTTTTTGTCCTAATATTCTATTCCTTATTATAGGATTAGAAGTTGATAATGGGGAACTTCCTTCATTTCCTCAGAAGGACAATCTTCTTGGTCTCGCTTTACATTCCATGTAATGAGAATGCACACTGACATTCATTCCTCAGATGTAGTCCAGGTCTAAGAGATCAGCACCAGAGTTCCCACAGAGCCCTGGGAGCCCCAAAGAACCAAGAATTGCAGGCAACAGCCCTGGCTGCAGAGTAGTGAGGACAGTAACATTAATAATAATAATGGCTTTCTTGTATTGAGCATTTATTATATTACGGTAGACATTTATATCATTTACTCCTCACAAAAAGCTTATAATTATCCTCATTTCACAGATGAGTGACATTAAATAGCTTTCCAAAGGTCACATAGTTAGTGAGTGGCCAGTCTGTGATTTAAAGCATGTCTTCTCTTTGCTACATCCTACTGCTTTTCTGTGTCATGAAGTCACAGGGATTGAAAGTTACTTAATTTTTTTAATTTCTTACTACTGATTATTGACCTTATTTTCCTGGACCATTATCCTTTTATTTCCCCTGTCCCTCCATTTTTTAGTAATGATGACTAGAAAAATAGATAGAAAAGACTGTTGTCTCCAAGAAAACCCACACAATAACTAAATATCATTATTGACAATAATTATTTTCTGGGTCTGTTATAGTGCAATTACCAATTTCCTTGCCTGCAAGACTACAATAATTATGCCTATCTCAATGGAGTAATTAAGTATTTTTATTTATAAAATGCTCTGAAATCTTCCAAGGGAGATAGAGAATAAGGATAATTTTTTATTAAAGCCAATTACCCACATTCAAAAATTATTCAGTTATTTAAAATAAACATTAAATGGAAATAGTGAAATAAAGTAATAAGATCACTGTGATAAAATGAGGGGATACTTTATCAAGGAAGCCTAGGCTAAAGATATACGTAAATGAAATTTTTTAATTCTGAGCTTTCAAGAAGTCAAGATTAAAAAGAGAAACATGAGAGGCGCCAGGGTGGCTCAGTTGGTTAAGTGACCATCTCTTGGCTTCGGCTCAGGCCATGATCCCAGGGTCCTGGGATGGAGCCCCGCATCGGGCTCCCTGCTCCGCAGGAAACCTGCCTCTCCCTCTACCCCCTACCCTCTCTCTCTCAAATAAATAAATCTTTTAAAAAAGAGAGAGAGAGAGAGAGAAACATGAATTATTTGGCACTTATTCTCTTTAAAAGAGAGGTTTTACATAGACACTAAGTAATGTGTCTTATGGATTTTTAATCCATAAGGTACATTGAATCAAAAAGGTTAGTGTCTAGGGGTGCCTGGGGGGCTCAGTCAGTTAAGTGTATGACTCTTGGTTTTGGCTCAGGTCGTGATCTTGGGGTCGTGAGAGCAAGTCCTGCATAGGGCTCAGCGCTCAATGTGGCTTCTGCTTGAGATTCTCTCTCCCTCTCCCTCTGCCTCTACCACTTGTGTTCTCTCTCTCTCTAAAATAAATTTTTAAAATCTTAAAAAAAAGTGTCTTCTGTAGTGGAATAATTCTGAATAAATTCTGAATAAAACTGAAATAAATTCAATTTTATGAAATTGCAAAATATTTTCCAAATGATTATTTCTTATATTGACCTCCCTCATATAAATTAATGATATAATCATTAAATTATGACTTTGTTCAGGCATCTTGGGAGAAGTTACAACAGTATAGTCTAGGAATGTAGCTTGCCAAAGGACTAACAATATGAAAATGAAGGGAAATGATTGATAGTTAATTCTTTCTTCCCAGGACATTGGGGAATGAACCATGCATCTTCCAGTTCTGAATAGAAGTCTATGCTGTTCTTACACATTGGGATATCACATTGGTTTTCTTGTCACATGAACTAATGGAAGAGTTTCATTTTTTTGGTTTATGTCATTTTGGTTGCCCATCAGAAGATCCAGCAAATTACTGATTAATAAAAATACTTTTATTTGTACTATTATAAAAATTGAAATAACTTCGTTCTGCATAAGGTTTCTTAATTTTTATTAAACGATAATTTGAACAAACTTCAGCAATTTTTGTCAATATGGTCTGCCCTAGTATTTTTAACTTTAAAAAAAGGAAGCTGTATAAATTCCAATGATGCTACATATTCTCTCTTATAATTTCCATTTTATAAAAAAAAGAAGAAGAAGAAGAAAGAAATCCATAAAGGAAATATTTTAATGACATTCAGCTTCCAGACCAAAAATTTTGGCACATTCATGGGTGCAAAACAAGAATATTCTTCTGTCATTGATATGGTGGCATGCCAGAAAGCTCTGTTGCATATACAAAGGACAGTCTCTTTTAATAGGACGAAGCAAAGAAAAAGATGTCAATCATATTGACTTAATAGGGTGCTTGTGTGTAGACATATTCACATTAACATTTGTCACATTGTAGATTCTCAGTAAATGGTGACCATATTTATTATTGTTGCCAAAAGAAAGCCTGTAACTAATGATAAAAGGTGAACATGCCAAAAGTAATCTTTTCCCTTATATTTAAAAAATAGTTGAAAACTTTGAGTAAATGAGTCTTATATATACACACTTATTTTTCTTTTTCAGGATGTACAGAAAGTCCTATCACATGGTTGGTTTGGTATATCCAGAAGCTGTCATAGTCACATTAAAGGTGAAATAATTTCAATTATTTAAATTTTTCAAATAGTCATTTTTTAAAAATCTTCTTAAAATGGCTGGGAGAAAATGAGAATAGGTCTTTGCTGCAGCTTATGCATTGGTACGTGAAAAATACTACAGCCATTCACAACATGTCATGTGTTCCAAATCATGACACATTGTAGACTTAAATGAGGATTGATTTACACTAACAAACTATGTCAATGCATATGCAAGTGTGTGCACACACGTATGTGTTTTTTTTTCTTCTTCATGCTTTATTTAGGTGGATCTTGAATTCAATTTTGAGATGGCACCAGGACTTGTCAGAATATACATATTTTCTTATGTATATATTGTGGGAAAGTTGCATGCACTAAAAAAAAAGATGTTCCAGGACAAAACTTATATGAAAGAAATTTCTTTAGAATTTTAGGTCTGAGAACATATACAAAGATAAAATTAAGAAAGAAAGCAAAAAAGATATTCATCTCCCTTATCTCTGCTTTTTCTGTGGCTGAGGCCCAAATGCAGTATTAAATGTTAGAAATAAGTGGAGTCAAAACTCTAAAGTGGTGAAAGTTTTTGATTCACTTGTCTCCACTGCCTGTGTATGCATGAGCACTGTTCCTATTCTAAGCTCATCATTCAACATCCCTTATTTCTTTTTATCATTTAATTTGGGTGGAGAAATTCAAGTTTGTCTCCTCTAACAATTTCATGGTGGTTTTCCTGTATCACCCAAGAATTTAAAGGACACTCGCAACAGAATATCCTGAGTTGCTTTATTTTGGGTTTATTAAATTCCTTTTCTAGTTTAAATTTATATTGCTATTTATATTATATTCTTTTGTTAATTTCCTTTTACTCATCCCCTTTGCATTTGTTTTTTTTTCTCCTCTGCTGCATATTAGACTTTAATCTTATTTAAAAACATAGTTTTTCTTGGATACTTTTTTACATTTATGTTTCTAAAGCTATAAAAAAAGACAAGTATATAAGTGAAATGTCAAATTATAAGATATTAATTACTCCTTGGATCTTGTGAGATTTGATTTTGTCAACTGTAAGCAAAAATATTACTTATTTTTATTTTTTTATTTTAATAACCTTTACTTAGAAACGAACACAATATTTTAGTATGAAAGAAAGTAAACACTTTTCTAAAATATGGTATAAAAAATGTATAAACTAATAGGTTGAGGGAGGAAATATCACCAGTAAAGAATATTTTTAGTTAAATAGAGGCACCTGGGTGGCTCAGTCATTAGGTGTCTACCTTCGGCTCAGGTCATGATCCCAGGGTCCTGGGATCGAGCCCCGCATCGGGCTCCCTGCTACGTGGGAAGCCTGCTTCTCCCTCTCCCATTCCCCCTGCTTGTGTTCCCTCTCTTGCTGTCTCTCTCTGTGTCAAATAAATAAATAAAAATCTTTTAAAAAAGAATATTTTTAGTTAAATAGTTCTTACTTCCTGAGATACCTTCTTGTCTTGTTTGTTCTCAATGAAGCATCTGCAGTAGTTTATAAATGTAAATCATCATTGTTGATAAAAATCCCCCAAAGTGGAAAACTAACCTTTTATTCAGTGGGAAACCCCTAGAAGGAACTATAAATAGCAGCCTCCTAACAATCTGAACTAATTCTTTGGAATTTGATAAAAGATATTTTGGCCTCATTTGAGCTTTACTGATGGCAAAATGCCTTCTAACACAACCTTCAGAGATTTTAAATTTACAAACAGATAAGGCAAGTGTTTGGGAATCAAATCATGGCCAAATGGAAGGAATTTAACAAAGGCATACAAGCAAATAAAAAAATATCTTATTGGTGTTTTCAAGTATTTAAAAATACCACTTGAAGTTGCTATTAATACTTTCAAAAGCAGTATTTTTAAAGGAGACTGTTTGAATACTATTTATCAGATTCTCAGTTTAGTTTCAGCATGTTATAGTACAGATCATTGGCCTCTGTAAAAAAATGTATTAAATGAATAAAATTCTAAATAATCCCAGCTCAAATTCAAAATTAACACACAGTTTTTAAGGTTGCCCTATTTAATACTAAACCAGCTGTGTGTATGTAAACACACAATTTGCTAAGAGTTTCTAATAATTATTAGAACTGACTGTTGTATTTCTTCAAATTTTTAAACTTTCAGTGATTTATTTAGTATTGGAGCTCCCACTTTACATGAAAACCTCCTTAGTGTATAGGATATCACTTGTTACAAGTCCATTTTGTGAACCCCTCGACAAGTTTGCAACCTGGAATTACCTAAAGCAAAAATCATGAGGTAGCTGGAATGGTTTGGCATAGTTCTCGTTGCTTTCTCTCCCACCGTCAGTGGATTTTTTCCAAGGGTATGTATGTGTTTCCCTATAGGCCTGGCCACTTCCCTCAGGAATCGCCTGAAATGCTATAATTACTTTCCTCCTCCTTCTCAATCAAAAGACTCACTTCCTTTTCCTTTCCATCTGTCCCTGGAGGAGAGTATAAACGAATCAGCCAAGGTTAGAGTGAGTAATAAGGTAGTATATACTCTATCTTTCTAGGGTATTTGCAACTTAAAAGAAGACATAAAATATCAAAGCTTTAAATCAAAGGATTAACTCTTATGGTGGAATTTCAAGCATGTAGAAAGTAGTGGGTGGGAAAGAGAAGTTGGGGCTACTTTCCCCTATCCCTCCATTAACATCACCCACATAACCTGTAATTCTACCTTAAAATGAAGCCCACTCTGGGCAAGTGATTTATGGCATGAATTTGAAGACAGATTGAGAATAAGATCAGTATTATAGTGTTATCAGGTTTATTACATCAGGTTTGATAACTTTGGGATTAAGGGGAAGATTTTAGCACTTACATTATGCATTATGGCCTCACTTTTGTGAACCCATGGATACTAAGTGGCTCTGTCATATCAGACACTGGAAAAAATATAGTCCGATGTTCTAAATTAAAATGTGACCTGCTAAATCTACAATGCCTGATCTCTCCAAGAATTTTTCATAGAACGAAACAACTATATAATATTGCCATCTAAAGCATTTACTCCTTTTTTTTTACAGGATGTTGATAAATGGTCTTTTGATGTATTTGCCTTAAATGAAGCAAGTGGAGAACACAGTCTGAAGTTTATGATTTATGAACTGTTTACCAGATATGATCTTATCAATCGTTTCAAGGTTAGAAACATGGAACAAAAATGAAATGCTCTTAGAATTAGTTATCTGAATCAGAATGAAAATGCAGAACATCGAGTCATTAATCAATGCATTTTATACTGTTTCTAGTTGGCAGGTCACAGAACTAGGGGGATGAGTTCACCACATGATATAGCCATTTTCCACAACTCACTGACATATAGCCACATGGACATCGTGAGGCCATTGTCGCCTCATTCCAACAAGATACCAGCATCCGCCTGAATTACCCACAGACCAGTCATGTAGAGATTGGGAGCTATGTTCTTAAAAAATATGATCTTCTGTGTTCATAAAACACAGAATGAACCTTTCTTGGCAGGTTTTCTTGAACTGAGATGAAAGGGCTTCTAATTAATTTCATTTTAGAGCCATTTAAGCAGCAGATTTGATCCAGATTTCTAAGCACTCTGCAACCTGTACCTTTCATCATTACCAATGGAATCATGGAAATTTCAGAGCTAGAAGGTGCTGGAAGGTCATTTATTTTAATCCCTTGTATTACAGATAGAAAAACTAGACATCACCAATTGTAATTTGGAGTTTTACCCTTTTAAGAACTAGCCTTCTGTCTTGACTCTGAAAGATATAAACATTTAAAGACAACAGTATGTGTAAGATTGCTATTTCATCTTAGTTAAACACCTGGGGATTACAATCTGTTTTAGGATTGAAAGCTAACAGGTTAATGAAATAGTTTTTCAGAGCAATCTGCATTTAACCTCAAAAAACTACTGCCCACATCTGTCTGACTCACAATTGTGTCCCATCCCAAACACTGTTGTGCTCATGTTGATTTAGTGCTACTATTTTGGTCAAAATATAATCATGATTATTACTTTTTGCAGATTCCTGTTTCTTGCCTAATTTCCTTTGCAGAAGGTTTAGAAGTTGGTTACAGCAAGTACAAAAATCCTTATCACAATTTGATTCATGCAGCTGATGTCACTCAAACTGTGCATTACATAATGCTTCATACAGGTATCATGGTAAGAAAGTTTTTATAACTGAAGTTTGTTAGTTTGGAACATTAAATTCCTTTCTCCTACATTGCCATTGTCCCCATTGCCATTGTCCCTTCAATACCCACAGGAGTATTATAAGTGATGATCTTTTGGATTTCTGAGGGTTAATGAGTTATCATAATATACATTTTCCAAAAAATATTTTAATTCCATGAAAAAAAAGATACGCAGAGGCAAATGTAAATATACTGCAAATTTTCCAAAATTTGGACTCCAGAACATTTTTGTTTATAATTTTTCCCCATAGGAGTCACCAAAAAACCAAAAAGTGACCTAGATAAAGTCTTGGGATAAAAGTTAGTTACAGTGCTCTTCCCTCATATTATCATGTTCTCTCAAACTGACTTCTGTGGATTTTTCTCTTTTCCTTGCATTGATAATCACAATCAAATCCTAATAGGGATTTTGGAAGTTATTTATGTGAATTTTTCCAAATTCTCTTTTCTCTTCTTTGCATCTAAATGAATCAATGAATAAGTAAATAAATGATTCAGCAATGCAATCCCAGGACAACCACAAGTAGATGTTAGGAATTCTGACACTGCCTGGAATTTCTGTAATGTCTCAGGGTTTAGGAAAGTGAAAAAAAGGAGCAACTCTTTCTTCTAAAAATTCCACACTGAGGTGGGTTCAAAGGGGTATAGGCCATATGAGATGCCCAAATCTTGGTACCTTCTTGATTCCTTATGTGATTCCTTCAGCCTATGCTGAAGCAGTGCCATAAATTGCATTAAGGTAGAATGTTCCATCAAATCCCATAATATGCATTGCCTACTTATTTTGACTTCAGAAGTCACACACCTATTCTATTGGGTCATTGGCACTCAGATCTACGTAACAAATACTCTTTGGGGCCCAGAGATCCTCAATACCTCATCTGTCCACACCAGAGACTATTCCTAATCTGGTCCCATGCAAAGTCCCTAGGGCCACAGTATGTTGTCCCGAAGATCTTGAAAATTTACAACAGTTACATGATTCTTCAACTTTATTATATACAGAAAATATTCATATTAATTTTATTTTTCCCCAAGAAACTATAGTGTGCTGTTTACTACACATACAATCCATTTGCTATGGTTCGTCCAATAGTGTCTCATATGATGATTGAATAAATTGTTTACTCTTCTTTTTCTGAATAAATTGTTTACTCTTCTTCTTCATCTTTCTTTGCCTCCAAAATGTTTGCACATCCATCAGTGCCTTGGGCTCAGATCCCACTCTTAACCCATGTTTCAATTATCTCTTGCTCCAAAAAAAACTGTTCCAAAACTTAGTGGCTCAAAACAACAACTTATCAATATCTCTCAGAGGTCTGTAGTTAGAAGGATCCCAACTATCAGGTTCTGACTTGAGGTTGTTGATGGGCTTACAGTTAGCTAACGACCATAGCTGAAGACATCTGAGGACATCATTGGGCAAGATATCCATGGTGGTTCACTCACATAGCTGGCAGTTGATGATAGCTAATGTCTGAAAGCTCTACTTCTAATAAAGGCTTTTTATAAAGGATTTTCTTGGAATCTCACCACCAATTCAGTAGAAATCTGCACTCTACCAGAAAATTACAAAAAATTACAAAAAAAAAAAAAAAACCTGCTTTGGAGTTAAGTCCTATTTGAGGGAGGCAGAAATCTCAAAAACCCTAACTGAGGCAGTAGCATGACCCCTTTGTGACCTTGTAGAAGGCTGAACTGTATGTGTTGTCAACTTCATACCTTGTGTTTTCCTATTGTAAGGTATATATATGGGCATCACAGACTTATGGTATAAATGTGTCCATTGGCTGAGATCAAATGCAGTCATGGCTAGATTTCCTTGGTCCTTGATTGAAACTTACTCTTCTTTCCAGGAGTCTGATTTGACATGTAAAAGGAGGAAGTAAAAGTTAATAATAATAAATAGAAAATCAAGCATGCAAAAACATAGCTTTAAAATATCATAAGCTTTTAGAAAGCAGTATACGTAACCTTTTTTATAATTGTTTCTAGCATGTGTGCACACACACAGGGAGAAATTCTTTTAAAGTTCCTTTGCTTTAATAAGACTTCACAGTCACAGCTGTTTCTTGAGCTCTTTGCCTACTGACAGCCGCAAATGTTGTTATCCTTGAAAAAGTCAGTTCAACATCTTCCTGGTTAGAGCTGCTTGCTGTTTCCTTTCTAAGGCCTTCGTCTTGAATCTGACAGTGAGATGGTTTTCATTTTAAGTGTGGCATGTCCTCTTTCATGAATTCTGTGGCTTTGAAAACATTAACTGAAAAATGAAATATTTAAGTGATACTCTGAAATGGAAACTGAGGTGATTAAGTTTCTTCAGAACAAGATGGGATGGAAAAGTAATGCCTACTTCAGTATAATCAAATATCTACTTCAATTATGAAATGCAATGAGAAGATATATACCATTTTATGCTGGGAGGTAACCAAAATTTCATCGTTTAAAAATATGTTTCTGCTTAAGTACATTTTTTATTTTTTATTTTTTTTGCTATCAGTATAAAGGGAGCCAAAGAAAAGTCTCCTATTTCAGCTTCAGAACCTCTCTTCTGAAGGTGACATGGAAGGGATGAAGGATGCCATGTTATTGGTAAATAGAGCAATTCAAATCCACGGTGTGACTTTTCCCTCAGGCTTATGAGGAGGACTTGTATCCAGATATAACAAGCCATTCCAACTTCTCCAGAAGACAGGAAATCTGGCCCAGCCTGGCACAACTCCTAGAAAGTTGACATTAATAAAGATTACATAGTCCGTAACTTACCAATCATAAACAGAAACTTCACTCTACTTTAGCAGATTTCATTGGGGAACTCATTTCTGATTTATTCATCCTTCAGCAACAATGTGTCAGTGGGCTCTTTACTCATCCATTAGTTTGGCCGTTACAAAAATAGTCCAGTGGAAGACTGTCATTGTTGTCTGAGATCAGGAAAATACATTTAAACTACAGGAAGTAATGAGAAATTTTATGATTGATGGTAAAAGGAAAGGCAAAATGAATTAGGACTTGATTGCCTGTGTTGCCAAAACTAGGTTTCACAGCCAGCTTGATAGCTTTAGGGAAGTTGTTTTAACAAGCTTTTCTTTAGGTGACAAAAGTGGCAGGGGAGTATTAATTTTCACACAGATGAATGTGTTGGTCCTTTGAAACAACAAAAATGTATTATAGAAATATTCATGTAGGTGAAACTCCTTGGATTTGATATGGGGAAGACTAGGTCACTGGCTTTAGTGCTTTCGTTGATCCCCTGCCATTTCAGAACGGTCTTATCCGTGTGACATTTCTGGAGCACTCCAGTGGTAGCCCCAAACTGTCAGGCGACTAATGCAGCCTGCCCCCTGCAAAATGTTCTGAGGACCAGTGCCTGAAGGGGATTGTGATGAAGCTATTGTCCTTCAGTTTGTTACTGTCACACGGAATACCCTCAGCCTGGGAGTAGACACTGCAGAGGAGAGTTGATGCTAGTACACCCTCAGTCTGTCTCTCTCTGTCCTTTGACACTTAATTAGCTTGTAGCCTTGTGTCAAGGTGACAGGGGTGTGTGGTAGCTCAATCCATTTGCTAAAGAGCAAATTGCTTCACCAAATGCTGCCAAGCTACCTCCAAGTGTCTCTCTGAATTTGAAATCTTCCGAGGGCCTTGGTAAGGGAACACTTGGATTTAAGGGCTCCTGCCCATGTGTTCTAATAGTAAGAGTAGAAGAAAGAAAGATGACGTGAGGTCTATTTTCTTTGGAAGTTGTAGTCCCCTGACCACACCCAGAAATGGCCTCCCACACTCTGGAATGACTCAGGTTTTCTCCAGTCAATGTACAAAAAATATGCCATGATGTCTCTATTCTACCAACTATGTGGAAATTCTGTTCTTGCAAATGGCATCCCAGACAACAATGTTTGGAAGAGTAGAAAGAGTGCAGGCTTTCAAGGCAATCAAGACATAGGTTTGAAACCCTGCTCTACCATGACCTAGATCACTACTCTCTACCTTGGTTTTCTTGTCATTAATATGTGGCTAATAATACTGACCACCATGTAGGATGACAGTGAAGAGTCAATGATATCATATATATAAAGCATCTAGCCTAGTTCCTGAAACATAATAGGTATTAACACGCATCCTAATATCATAATAATTGTCAATTTATTTTTCTTATATATTATGTGTATTAAGTATTAACATTATTATAACACTCACTTTCTATACTGGATAAGTTATAGCAAACTGTCATCCTATTCAAAGGGCTAGAGAAAAAAGTGTCCAACCCCATAATTTAGCTAAAAGAGTTGTTAATTATGCTGTTTTAGACACACCAGGAACTAATAGGTCAATGTGATTTTCTGACCTGAAATTCTCCCAACCTTAATATACACACATACACTTTCTCTTTCTCTCACACACACACACACACACTAATAATTTAGATATGAAAATTTACATCACAAGTCTTAAAGCTCTATTTAGAGCTTCTACCCATCAATATACCCAGTTAAACTAACTAGAAATTCTGCTTCTGAAACCTTGGAAAAATGTATTCTGCATATTGCCTCCCTCAAGTAATGAATGCTGTCATCATCCATAGAAGGAATATTGTGATCTCCGGAAGGAACAGAAACTTTGGAATCAGGTTTTGGGTTGAATTCCTGCTCGGCCACTTGATAGCTATGTAACCTTTGGTAGGTTGACCCAGTTCTGTAGAAGTCAGCTTTGTTGTCTGCCAAGTAAAGATAAAGACATTCACCTCATAAATGGAAAACAGCATGGTTCTACAGATCAAAAGAGACCATCTAGCTAAAATGTTAGTTTCTTCTCCTTTCTTTCTGACATCATTATAAAAACTATTGATGGCAGTTAGCATCTCCCTAGGATATGATTTGAGACTGCTCATTTTAGAGTCGGTCCACCTGAGCATTTCTCTGGACAAAATGCAAACTGCAGTTTAGAGGAAGCACAGTGTCTGCACTGCTCATAACTCATCATTGTAACTCTTTACTTCTGCCCATGAGCACCCAGAAGCATGTGGGCTATGTACTGGCCACTGTGCTAGTTGGGAGGAGTGATAGGACTCAGCTTTATTCTCTCTAGCATGTTCTCATGAATCAGTTACAAAATCTATGAATTCAATCATTCATTTTCTGAGTTGGAATTCTCATTTGGCACCAGTGTAAAATGAATGAACAGCTAAGGAACTAAAATTCAGCCCAAAATTCTACTTTTCACTAATACAAAATAGATGTGCTTTTAAATTAGGTGAGAGCATTCAACATTTCATTCTCTTCAAACTATTTTATAATTCTTTTAAGATTTTATTTATTTATTTGACAGAGACAGACACAGCGAGAGAAGGAACATAAGCAGGGGGAGTGGGAGAGGGAGAAGCAGGCTTCCTGCGAAGCAGGGATCCTGATGCAGGGCTCAATCCCAGGACCCTGGGATCATGACCTGAGCCGAAGGCAGATGCTTAACGACTGAGCCACCAGGTGCCCCCAAACTATTTTATAATTTAAACTTAATTATTCAGGCCATAGTGTGGCAATAAATAAGAGGGATTCATGGAGGAAGTACTATTTATGGGAAGCAGAGAATAATGAGACTAAAAACAGGAAATAAGTATAATCAATTTTGACAGCTAGGAAGATAATAATTTTAAATACTTATGAGATAATCTATAATTAAAATCCATCTCTGCTGCACTAATTTAATGTTTTTATAATTGCAGCTTCATATTCTATATTATTGTAGATATTAAATATTGCTTTTTTAAATCAGAGTTAAATCTGTAAATCTTAAATATATCAATAAGAAATACATAAGGTGCATCTGTGTCCGACTCTCGGTTTTGGCTCAGGTCATGATCTCAGCGTCCGGGGATCAAGCCCTGCATCGGGCTCCACACTCAGTGAGGAGTCTGCTTAAGATTCTCTTCTCCTTCTGCCCCTCCACCCAATGTGTGCCCTCTCTCTCTCTCTAATAAATAAATAAATAAATAAATAAAATCTTTAGAAAAAATAGGATATACTTAAGAAAATTGGTGACTTGTTCCTAGGATCATTTTTTTAAATAAAACAATGAGTTTCTGGGGGTACAAAACCTGGTTTAACTTCAATTGCTATTCATTTCATGGTGTTTAATTCCACAGTCTCACTGGGGACATTGAAGGTTCAGTCCCACTTCAGTCTATAATAGAGGCCATTCTTCCTTTTAATGACTCACAATTAAATGCACCCATAAACACAAAATAGCTAGTTATATTAACTCCCATTGGTTCTGAAAATCATTTCTGCTTCAGTTATCCAGCTGTGAGACATTTATTCTTGAATTGCAATCACTAAAGATATGTTAGCTCACTATTATTTTCTAGACTCAATGCCTTCTACAGTTCATTTAAGGTAATATGTTCAGTAAAATGACATTTTTTCTGTATTTTACTATATGACAAGATTTGTGAAAGGCACAGTGAATAGATTAACTTAAAAACTTCTCTTAAAATTCCACAGGGAATGATCACTAATTCTATTTTCATTGGAACTGTGGCTGAGAGGGTAAATAACTTATTTGCCTCAGGGTCAACAAAGATTTGAAACCAGAATTGTCTGATTATACATAGCCTCTTTCCACTACTCCTTACTACCGCCTCCTAATGCAAACCTGGTAGAATTCAAGTCAGCAGACAAATATTAAGTTCCTACTATGTGCCAATTACTATGATAGGTTATGTGAAGAGGAGCAAAGATTAATACAATCGTACCTTTGTCAATTATGAAATTCAACAGTTGTCACTGCTCGTTTTTGACTCATGGACCTACAATGGCTCCCTTTTGCATTTTATACAAAATCCAGATTCATCAGCTCTAATCAAAGTAGTCTATCAACTCTTCCCATAATCTGCACTCTCTCCCCATTCTCATTCCACTTGACTCTCCAACACAGTTGTACTATTGGCAATTCAACTTCCATATGGCCTTCTATAGTAACATTCTGCATTTGCTCTTTCTACTTAGAATACCTCTGTTCCTCACATTGCATTTAGGTACTGTTTTTGTCCATCCTTCTTCCAAGATTACTGCCACCAAATAAACATTCTATCTGCTCTTCTATTGTATCTTTTTCTGTGACCTTTTATCAAGTATGCCTGTAGTTTACATTATATTTTTCTGTTGCTTTGTACAATTTAATTGTTTCAAGTATGTGGAATGAGACTACTAAGAGCAAACCCCCTATCTTTGGGATCCTCCATTCCTACCATCAGGTACCACCTACTTGCACCTCTATCTAATGGAACTTTCTGTGATGATGGAAACACTTTGCATCTGCACTGTTCCATACGGTAACTACTTGCCACATGTGACTCCTGAGCAGTTTTAATGTGGCTTCTGTGCCTGGGAAAGTGACTTAATTTTACTTAATTTTATTTATTTTCAATTTAAGTGGTTGCCTGTGGTTACCATAACGGATAGTGTAGTAAAAGTGTTACGCAAAATTTCAGTGATGAATAAACTACCACATTACCTAAGTAGACTTATAATAGCAGAGAAATTTTGTTAAACCATCCAAATGATAAGAGAAAGATCAATGTATATGAAGCAGGTGTTCTGCATTTTATATGAAAACACTTGTTCAATCTTTTATTTTTAAGTTTAATTGCACATTCAGGATATGTGTGTTGTGAAGAACAAATTTGGTAAATTCTTAGAAACTCTTACAAATCTTAATATAAAATATATAAGTGAAGTTCAGTTCTCTAATGAGCAAAGTGAATATTTTCCAACTCTTAGGTGAAAAATTTCCTCATAGTAGGGTCTTCTACAAAAGTTGAGCTAAAGATATTTTAATGGTGTATGGGTCCTTATGTTAAAAACTACTAAACTAAAAAAAAATTACTAAACTGTAATTGATTTCATGAAAACCCAAATTCATAAGTCTGTGAATTCAAAAATCCACACAGGTTTACCTTTTAAATCATAGAAAATTACTCCTTTTCTGATTGGCAAGGAACATTATAATGTCTGTATTTTGAATTTATAAGCCATGAAACAATCATTGACCACAAGAAGCATCCATTATGCATAATCAACGAATGTGAAACAGGAAGGAAAAATGTACTTAAAATCAATAAGAATAATTTAATATATTTATATGATTACTTATACTGGGTGCAACAAAAATCTCCTTTGTAGAAATACAACATGGCCTCTGCTTTCTAAATATGATAGTATCTTTCTTTAATTTACTAGCACTGGCTCACTGAACTGGAAATTTTAGCAATGGTCTTTGCCGCTGCCATTCATGATTACGAGCATACAGGAACCACAAACAACTTTCATATTCAGACAAGGTAAGTTATATAAAAGTACTAACTTTTCTAACTTAAAACTTGAAATTTATTTTTCTACATATTATTTTTAAGAAAATTTAAAAATAACAGTGAAGATGTCTAGTAAGTAGTTTTAATGGATTTTAGCAAAATTCCTTAAGCTACAATCAATTATTGATCAAGAAAACTGTATAAATATTTAGTGACATATTTAGCAATTTAAAGAATGTAAAAATGTGTCAGATAATTTATCTCTGCCCAGGACTTATACTTTGAACTATCATACACGTCAGACATCTACTGACTGAGATGAATCTCACAGCATATTATTTAAGGCATCAGTTTAGTATCATTATGTATTTGAAAGTAATAAAATTGTGCTTTTGAAAAAATCAAAGAAACCTTATTTCCTGTTTAGTGTGAAGTGCTAAATTTAAAATAATTAGAAAATGAGATTTTTTTAATGATGGTAATAATGGCAGTTATTAGAATCAAAATACCAGAGTGGAGATATATCTGACTGCTAGGGCTGTTATCACAAAATCACAGATTGGGTGGTTTAAAGACAGAAATTTTCTCACAGTTCTGAAGTCTAGAAGCCCAAGAAGTGTCATCAAGTTTAGTTTCTGCAGAAGCCTCCCTGCTTGGTTTGCAGATGGCCACCTTCTCACTGTGGGTACACATTCCTCCTATCTCTTCTTCTTATAAAAACGTCAGCCATATTGGATTAGGCCACACCCTTATAACCTTATTTAACTTTAATTACTGCTTTAAAAGCCTTATCTCCAAATACAAGTCACATTCTAAGGTAAAAGGGGTAAGGACTTCAACATATGAATTTTGGGGAGACATAATTCATTTCATAACAGAAACGTGCTCTGTGTTCTTTTTGGTTGCACATAGGTCTCAGTGTCTGGGAGGCAGAATGTATCTAGGACCCACCATGATTCAACTTTCTATACATAAGATCCTGACATTTCTCTAAGTCTTTCACTTGTCAGAGATGCTTGAGATGGAGATGGAAGTTGAGAGACTGATGTTTCTCTGGAACTACTGTAGAACCCTCCAGTCTTATTAAGGGAAATCTAAATCTATTTTTGGGGGGGGGTTTCTCCTTTTTTAATTGATAGGCTTTATTTCTTAGAGCAGTTTTAGATTTATAGAAAAACTGAACAGAAAGTACATAGTTCCCATATACTCTCTTTCCCCACCCCCACAGTTTCCCCTATTGTTAAATCTTGCATCAGTATGGTCCCTTTGTTATAATGAACCACTATTGATACATTATTATTAACTAACGCCCGAAGTACACATTAGAGTTTAATCTTTGTGTTACACATTGTATGGGTTTTACAAATGTATAATGTGTATAATGCTATGTATCCACCATTATAGTATCATACACAATAGTTTCACTGCCCTAAAACTGTGCTTCACCTATTTATTCCTCCCTCCCTCTCTACCCCTTTACACCTGACAACCACTGGTCTTGTTAATATCTTATAGTTTTGCCTTTTCTAAAATGTCATATAGTTGAAATCGTATGATATGAAGCCTTCTCAGACTGGTTTCTTTCACTTAATATGCATTTAAGTTTTCTCAATGTCTTCTCATGGCTTGATAGCTCATTCATGTTCATTAGTGAACAATATTCCATTGTATGGATGTGACAGAGTTTGTTTCCTTATTTGCCTATGAAGGATATCTTGGTTACTTCCAAATTTTGGAATAAAGGTTATGAATAAAGGGACTATCAACATTCATGTGCAGATTTTTGTGTGGTCTGTTCATTTGCTTTTTAATGGCAATATTTCTAACAACTGATTTTGCAGCTATAGGAGATTATTTTTTTAATGTGGAGATCATAGGAGTATTTGTTTAAAAGGTTAGACACTTTTAGAGCTTTCAGTGACTAAAGTGACAGAGAGCCACATTATGGATCATCTAGTCAAGGCCTCACAATCTAAGGAGTGAAATGACCTCAAGAGGTGAAATGACCAATCTGTGTGCACATAGCTGGCTGATGGCAGTGGCAGAATTGAGAAGCCAAGAGGAGGGACAATCCCAATCCAGTCTACTCATATAACTCTGACCCCATGTCCAAGGCAGATGCATGCGAGTTCTAGTCTTCTGTAGCCTGAAATAGGATGGGCTTAGATAACGTGGCCCCTTGATGGAGACAGAGGAAGAGTTGGAATTCCAACAGTGAAATATTGAGGAAAGTATTCTGTCTATCCCCAGCGTCCCTGAGATTGACAGACTGTGAAGGGGAAAGGCAGACCTGGAGGTCTGGTCATGTGCAAGAGGATGTTATTAACCTACGCATTTGCAGAGTAGAGGGAACTGTTCCGTTTTTGTGTCAAACATCAAAGCAGATGTAGACCGTGCAGATCATTTTTGTTTGTCAAAGACTCTTCTACAACCACGGAATCCATAATGAGTGAGATTTTAATTAAAGACAGCTCGTTACTGAGCTGGGCCCTGTCTAGGACAACAGTTTTAGCAGTTGGAGAAGGGAACAAGTGATTGGTTACCCATGAACACTTCTTGTTTCTACTTTGAAAAGTGAAGGCAATGGACCAGCCTTCTCCAGCAGCAGTGTCGGGCCACCACTCTAGCTTTCTCCTTACCATCCATTTGCAACTGATGAAGAGTCCTAACTTCCTTATTCTTTGGACTGCAAAGAAGGGGAGGGAAATGGAGAAAGACAAGAGGTGGAAGAGGAGAAGGTGGAGTAAAGAAAGAGGAGAGGGAGGAAGAAGAATTCATTCCCCCCCCAATTTTACATTAAGAAACTCTGCATATAAAGGGGAGAAAAGGTCGAGTATTTTATTTATTTTCTTATAAATTGCCTACTGGGATCAATTTAAAGGATAAATTATACAAGAATTTGAAAATTCTATGAACGAAAATGTTGTAATGACCACAACCACAACATAATGTGCCTTTAAAACTCTATCACCGTTACATTTTGTCCAAGAAAAAATAACATCTTATGTTACAAGTATCAATAATTCTATTGTATTTTATATTACTCATTGTTACTTGGATTTAGAATGCTTTTCTAATGTGGAAAACTATATACTGGATAATACAAAATAAAAAATAATTTAGAACATAGTACAATGCTAGATTTGAGTTCAGTACAGACATTATAATTCATGAAATCCTTGAAAGTGTAAATAAATGGAAATAATTTCTTTTTTGTGAAAAGAAAATACCGAGCTACATGTTACCATGGATACTGAATGTTGCTTAGAGTTTTGTTCTTTTCTTAGCAGTCAAAGACCATCTCAAACATTAAGATGGTGCTGTATTCTCAGAATCTTATTGGATTTATGAGACAAAATCATAATAGTTTGCTACAATTAAATCTGGTTCAAAGATACATCTTTGCTTGCTGCTGAAAGTAAAAGACACTTGGAGCTATGTCATGTAATTACACTGCCATGGCTAGATTTGAGGCCATATGATACAAATGATATGTGATTTACATGTCAGTTTTTCCCATGATCTGAGTGGATTTTTGGAGATACTTGGGCAAGATATATTCAGTTCTTTCTTAAACAAGGTTTGCAGGTGTACTTTTCTGTATACGGAGTTATGATTATTGGCTAAAGAATTTTTAGGCCATGGTTGAGATTCAAAGAAATCTATTTTGGAATTATGTACTGTTAGCTAACTACGTATGTTTTTCTACTTTCATGGCAATTCTAGAAACAAAAGATAATTGTTCTGCCTCATAGGTCATTTCCCCTATGTTGGATTAATAATAAAGCTTGGTTTATTTAGTCAATTATTAGATACAGATCTCAAATAGGTTACTTGCAACCAAAACCAGGTTTCTTTAGTTCTTTCATTTATCCTTGCCTATTCTTTGGTAAACATTCAGTGGTAAATAACCAGTTCTATAACCAGTACTACTGACTGAGAAGCCTAAAACAGTAAGTCTTAGTGAGGCAGTTTTCGTGCTGACAGAATATATCTACCACAAGGAAGGAAAAATGAAGAGTCCGGGCATTGCAGCAAGTGGAAGCAAAGTTGCACAGGTTTTAACTTGACTTTACTTTTGCTATTTTTGTTGCCTCCAGTTTGGCAACTTATATGGGTTGATTTACCATTTTAATACATTATACATAGTGGTCCTGCTTCCATTCCACATTTGCAAAATGATCTGGCAACCTAAGAGGATAGAGGAAGAAGCCAGGGCTCCATTATACAGATCTGAGAATGCTTAGAATATCTCATACTTTATTCTAGAATACTAAGTTAAACAATGCTACAGTATGAAGTAGTTTATTTGCTCAAATGATGTGAAAATATGGACAGGTGAAAAGTGAAAAACTTCCCTTGATGAATTCATCATTTTAAAATATAATTTTCATTATAAATTGGTGGTAAAGCACACATTTTAAATTTTGGGGTTTTTTAATTTAATGCTGCAGGATCTAAACATTCAAATTGAATCACAACATTATAAGGGAGAAAAAAACTAAAATCATAAATACAGCAAATGATTTTCATCACCCCCTCTGCCCTCCATCCAAAGTAATGTTAGTCCAAGGGAATAAGAAATAGTTGGCAATCAACTATCTGGAACGGGTTGATTCATCAACAGAGCGATTGATTCATTCAATGATTGGATGAGGATATCAGGCAATTTTTTTTCTTTGTTTGGCATATGTAGATTATCTCACAGGTATCTGGATTACAAATTGTAAGGAAAAGGCATAAGTATATTCAAACTATGATAATTAAAAAGAAATAAAGCACTATGACCAAATGGGATTTATTCCCAAGCTCAACATTCAAAAATCAATTAAGGAAATCATCATATCAACATGTTAAAGAAGAAAAATACATGATCATATCAAAATGCAGAAAAGGTGTTTGACAAAATCCAACACATTTATGATGAACATGCTCTGCAAACTAGGAATAAAGGAGACCTTTCTCAACTTGATAAAGATCTACAACAAACTGACAACTAACCTCACACTTAACAGTGCAAAACTTGAAACTTTCCCACTAAGGTCAGGAACAAGGCAAGGATATTCTCTCTCACCACCTTTTTTTTAACATCATAGTGGAAGTACTAGCTAATGCAATAAGGCAATGAAAGGAAACAAAAGGTATAGAGATTGGGAAAGAAAGCATAAAACTTTGTTGGTAAGTTACATGATAATCTATATAGAAAGTCCAAAAGAACTGACAAAAAAATTCCTAGAACTAATAAGCAATTATAGCAAGTTTGCAGAACATAAGGTTAGCACACAAAATTCACTTTCCTATATGCCAGTAATGAACAAGTGGAATTTGAAATTGAAATCACAATATCATTTACATTAGCATCAAACATTGAAATATTTACATATAAACCTAACAAAATATGTATAAGATGTATATCAGGAAAACTATAAAAAATCTGATGCAGAATTCAAAGAAGAACTAACTCAATGGAGGGATATTCCATGTTCATGGTAGGAAGACTCAGTATTGTCAAGACGTCAGTTCTTCTCAACTTGATCTATAGATTCAATGCAATCCCAAACTTCCAGCAAATTATTTTGTGGATGTTGACAAGCAGATTTAAAGTTTATATGGGAAGGCAAAAGACCCAGAATAGCCAACACATTACTGAAAAAGAAGAACAGAATTGGAGAATTGATACTATCTAACTTCAAGACTCACTATAAAGATACAGTAGTAAAGATAGTGTGGTATTGGTAAAAGAATAGACAAATAGATCAGTGGAACTAGAAGAAAGATCCCAGAAATAGACACACATAAAATATAGTCAACTGATCTTTGATAAAGGAGCAAAGGCACTGCAATAAGCCAAAGATAGTCTAGTCTCTTCAACAAATGGATCTGAAACTACTGAACATGCCAAAAAAAAAAAAAAAATCGAGACAGAGACCTTATTCTCATCACAAAAGCTAACTCAAAATGGATAGACCTAAATGTAAAATGCAAAACTATAAAACTCCTAGAAGTTAACATAAGAGAAAACCTAGATGATCTTGAATGTGGCGATGACTTTTTAGATACAACACTAAAGGCAAAACTGACAAAAAATAATTGATAAGCTAGACTTAATTAAAATTAAAAACTTATGCTCTGTAAAAGACAATATCAAGATAATTAGACCATCCACAAAGTGGGGGAAAATATTTGCAAAGGATATATCTGATAAGGGACTGTTATGCAATATATACAAAAATTCTTGAAACTCCACAATAATAAATGACCGGACTTAAAAATGTGCTTCAACAGACACCTCACCAAAGAAGATACACAGACAGAAAATTAGCATATGAAAAGGTATTCCACATCATATGTCATCAAGGAAATGCAAATTAAAACAATGAGATATCACTACACATCTATTACAATGGCTAAAATCTGGAACACTGATGACACCAATTGCTGGTGAAGATGTGTAGCCACTGGACCTCTCATGCATTGTAGTGGGAATGCGAAATGGTACAGCCATTTGGGAAGACAGTTTGATAGTTTCTCAGAAAATGAAACATAGTCTTACCATACAATCCAGCAATCACATTCCTTGGTATTTACCCAAAAGAGCTGAAAAATTATGTCCACACAAAAACCTGAACATGGATATTTATAGCAGCTTTATTCATAATGGCCAAAACTTGGAAACAACTGAGAAATCCTTCAGTAGGTGAAAGGATAAATTGTGATAGATCCAGACAATGAAATATTACTTGGTGTTCAAAAGAATTGAGCTATCAAGCCATGAAAAGACATGGAGGAATCTTACATGCATATTACTAGGTGCAAGAAGCTGGTCTGAAAGGGTTACATACTATATGATTTTAAGTATATGATATCCTGCAAAAGCCAAAACTATGGAGAAAATAAAAAAGATCGGTGGTTGCCAGGGGTTATGGGCATGGGAGGGATGAACAGACCGAACACAGAGGATTTCTATGGCAGTGAAAAGACTCAGTGTAATGCCATAATGGTGGATGCATGTCATTGTACCTTTGTCCACAGGCACAGGATGTAAACTATGGATTTTGAGTGATAATGACGTTCAGTGTAGACCTATAAATTATAACCAATGTACCACTCTGGTGGGGGATATTGATGACGAGGGGGTGGTTTTACATGTCTGGGGTGAGGGGGTATATAGCAAATCTCTGTACCTTCTGCTCAATTTTGCTGTGAACCTACAACTGCTCTATTTTTTTTTAAAGCCATCATATGGTTAAAAAAAAAGGAACTAAGTACTTCCATAAATGTAGGTGTTCAATTATAGAATTCTTATTGATGAGTTATCTTGTGACTTGAGTATATTTAGCAAACACTTGTGAAGTCTAAAAGAAATCCTCTACTGGACATTTTGTTTTTAATTCTTAGGTCAGATGTTGCCCTCTTGTATAATGATCGCTCTGTCCTTGAGAATCACCATGTGAGTGCAGCTTATCGACTTATGCAAGAAGAAGAAATGAATGTTTTGATAAATTTATCCAAAGATGACTGGAGGTGAGTTTCAAAGGAAGCCCAGAGGAAATTTAATTTCAGGAAAAAGTTAAATTATGTGATTTAAAGTGAAGAAAGTCAATCCCTCACTCATATTATAAAAATTCCCCTTGACTGGATGGCTCTGAGAAGGGTTAGTACCTAGAAGATGTTGTTCAGGAGCCAGGCTCTGCTGGTTGGAGTTAAGCTATTTTCCAGGTTAATTTCACATCTGTATACATTATAGCCAGTCCACAAGAGTGCATACCACACAACACATACTTTAGGATACATAATGATGTACTCTATGGAATGGAGCTCTGCTTAATTGTGGTCCTAAATAAATTCAAAATCTTAGTGTAATATGGATTACTTCATATTCCTTCATATTCCTTGCTTTTCTATATGTGGAGTTTTGCTTTTTTAAAAAATAAACAAAAGTCACTGTTTGAGGAAAATAATTACAAATATAATATACTAAAATGATGCAGATGCAGAGGGAAATCTTACCTGTTTCTCCAAGGCATCCATCTGCTTAAAAAGAAAAAAATCATAGATTGGTGATACTTGTTGCCACACAGAGGGAAATAACAAGATGTACCCCTACAACTCGGCATAACTTTTCCTTCTTCTTGATCCTTTGGTCATCATCAGGCCTTTCATTTAACTATAGGGCTGCCAGATATAGCAAATAAAAATAAGGGATGTCCAGTTAAGTATGAATTTCTGATAAACAGAAATTTTTAGTGCAAATATGTCTGCTTATCCCTACTAGTCAATGAGACTTACTTATACTTTAAAAAAGAAAAGCCTTATCTTTAACAAAGATTTTGTTAAAAGTTAGTTAATGGGCTGAAAATTTTCCATTTAACTATCAAAGGTTTTTCCATTTTTCTTTAAATTGAGGTAAAAGAAAAGAAGTGCCTTGGGATCAAGAACTGCCTCAAAATTAACGAATGAGTAAATGAATAAATGGTTAATTCAAGATTTAAAACAAGCCCTAATTTCTGATGGTTACTTTTCCAAATACTCAAGCTTTCTGGTTTTTCAAGGCCATTTTTGAAGGTGTGTAAAAAATACCAGCTCACTTTTGCAACTATAGAAGCAGATCTAATGTGGTGGAAGGAGGCACTTTGTTTTGGGAAGCTGGTTCGGGCCTTTCATTTTATTCTGCAAGAAACAATAGCCCAGTTGGGTTTCCAGTTAAGAAGGCCAGCATCTAATTGTAAAAGGATCTTAAAGCTACCACAGCTGGGCTGTGTGGAGAATAGAAGAGCAAAAGTAGGCGTAGGGAGATAAGTTTGGAGGTATTTCTTGTGGTCCAAGAGATGATTATTTACATTTAGAGTATTAATTTAATTTTTCATCAGTGATTATTATTCCCAGAGGTAACATTTATATTATTAATTTTTACAGTTATTCCTGTGAATTAACCTTTTTCCTTCTCAAAGTTGATTCTGTTGCTATTTCAGTGTGATTATTTTTGCTACTACATTTTTGTTCTTTAACATCTTTATTTTTCTTATAATTTATTCCTGTAATAATTTATAAATTTCTGTACAGTAACTTCTCAGAATCATCCTAATTGAATATTTTTATAGAATTGTTTTAACAAATACTATAATATCATATAGACTGTAGAATTTAATAGGTCCAACATTGTTTCTAAAAAGCTACAAAAGATAGATTTGCTAGTATAAAGTTGATAACATGTTATCACAAATTAAAATATGAATAGCATTTTAGAGATTTGTAGATTTTCTGTTTGCATATCTATTTATTTCTTAAAGTAACTTTAGTAACCGTAAATGAAATAATTTAACAATTTTGATAAGGAAGATTCATAAATAAAGTAACATTTCCCTTGTGTACTATTTTGCCTAGCTTATTGATACACTATCTGTTGATTATTGATAATATCTAGCATTTACTAATCACTTACTTACAAAGTACAATGTACTAAATTTTATAGATTTCATAAAACTTTTGTCTCATTTTTCCTTAGTTAAAATGAGTATTTTGGTTCAGTTGCTATTGTAATATGGGTCTCTTCATAATTCCAGAGAAAAAATGTAATTAAGAATAAGTTTCAGGGTGCCTGGGTGGCTAAGTCGGTTAGGTGTCTACCTTCCACTCAGGTCATGATCCTGGAGTCCTGGGGATCTGTGGAGCCCCTCATCAGGCTCCCTGCTCATCAGGGAATCTGCTTCTCCCTCTGCCTCTCACCCTTAATGTTCTCTCACATGCGCTCTCTCTCTCTCTCTTTCAAATAAATAAGTAAAATCTTTTAAAAAATTTATTAACTACTTTTAGTTTCCATTCCTTTAATATTTGGGTAAAAGTATTCTAAGCAAGCTACCCAATATCATCAACAGTAATCAGAATATTGATTTCTCACAATGCTCATCTAAAAATCCAGTTGAATTGAGCACCCATAATTTTCAGCAAGCCCCTTTAATATGTGGTTGTTTTAAAAACAAATCATTCAATCCTACAAACTTTAGGTTAAAAATCTTTGACACAAGATTATAATTCACCTTATAAAGGTAAACACACACCTTTTATTTAGCTTCTATTGGCCATGCCACAGAATGAAAATAAAATACGATTTCTGGTGTGAGTGACATTTTTATGTATCTGTACTGACCAAGCAATGACTTGTAGAACATGCAAGGCTTTGCTGAAATGACCAATTTCCTACTTAGTGTGAGAATGCATTATTTATGCACAGGTTTTGTGATATGGTCAGTGTTTAGCTCAAATTAAAATTTGATTAAAATTTCAATAATACCAATAGCTCTGTCTACAGTATATTGTAGAGTCAGGGTCCCAAAAGCCGAAAAGAAGAATCACCACTCACTTTAGCATCTTGGCTTCTCTGGGTTCTTAGAATAGAAAGAAGTGGTCCAAGTGTCAGCTTTAGGAGTGGGAACTCTTGGGGTTGAATCTTGCCTCTGCCATCTACCAGCTACCTGTGTGACTGGGCAAAACTCAACTTCCTCTGGTGTGAAATGATAATAGCTCCTCATATAAAAGCACCTAGCACACTGTTTGGACTGAATAAATCCTGAATACATAGTGGTGGTTTTAACAATAGCAAATACTGCATTTAAAATTATGTTTTTAAGTTGGTCAGGATCCTTTCAGATAGAAAAACAGTATTTAGGAATTATGAGTAGGGGAGGGTTGTGGGTGTGCATGGGGAAAGCATTCAGTTCTTTAAGGGGTGACATTAAACAACATCATTCACAGATCACTCTCCTGGCAACTTCCTAAAGCCGTAAGAGTTAAAGGGTGAAATAATGTCAAATGTTTGTGAGCGCTTTTATGTTTAAAAAGTAGCATCTTCCATGCTCATATCCATAAAGAAAAATAAAATCTAGTTAGTAATATTTAAGAAAATGTTTTACTTGAGAATCATCAAGGGCCAAATGAACATTTCTTCTTTTGATGACTCCACAGGGATCTTCGGAACCTAGTGATTGAAATGGTTTTGTCTACAGACATGTCAGGTCACTTCCAGCAAATTAAAAATATAAGAAGCAGTTTGCAGCAGCCTGAAGGGTAGGTTATTTACTTCCATCATGTTGAAGGTCCGTGGGCTTAGACTCAGAAAAGACTGTAATTGGTTACTTTGGTCTGATAATTTGAACATGTCCTTGGTTTGACAGGATTGACAAAGCCAAAACTATGTCCCTGATCCTCCATGCGGCAGACATCAGCCACCCAGCAAAATCCTGGCAACTGCACTACCGCTGGACCATGGCCCTGATGGAGGAGTTTTTCCTACAGGTGCCTCCTTCAGAAATGTGCAAATGTTTTTGGAAATAGTGACTATGCGTATTGACATGCATCTTTTTAAATGCAGAATCCAGGACTTGTGACTTACTATTATCAACTGGCCACAACACATTCTTGGGACATTAAGCAGAATTTATCAGTCTTTCAGATAAATGTATTTCATAATCCTATGTGGTATAATATATGTTTTAAAGAGAGTCAAGTCTTGGATCTCAGATGCTACCCTTAGGAAAGAAAGAAACAAACAAATCAGCATTGTTGCCTGCTATTAAGAGGTAAAATGCTAGAGTAGAGAGAGCAAATATCTTTCATCATAAAATGCGAAAGGAGAGGATATGCAGCACTGCTGTATACATCTTGTTGGTTAAAATTTAGTCATGTGTACTCAGTTGCAAGGGAGGCTGAGAAAGGTAGTTTTTTGCTGGGCAGACATATGCCTAAGTAAAAACTAGATTGTTATATGAAAAAGCAAGCTTGGACATGGGGAATGGCCAGTGCTCTCTACCACAAGTACACTTTTTTTTTTTTTTTAAATAGTATCCCTGTTCTATTTCTACTTACACCTGAGTTACCACAATACAAATGTGATGCTAACCACCCAGAGTTAGCATCAGTTCCCAAAGTTAAAGGCTCAGTTTTCCATAAGAATGGCTTCACTTCAAGAGGCCAACCTCAAGTGGGGCCCTAGGACACCAGCCCTTCTGACCACTTGTTATAAATTCAGGGGTTCCCATGACCCTCCTCAGGTTTGACAATTTGTTGCAGTGACTCAAAGAACTCAAGAAAGCACTATACTTATGGTTATAGTTTTATTATAAAGAATACAATAAGGAATAGCCAACTGACATTTTACCTATTCTGAAGACATGAAGACTGAATATATTACTATATTTTGAGGACTCTGGTTTCTGTCTCCCATTGTCAATGATTATGGTTTCACTTTAAAAATAGCATTGCATAGTCCTAGAGAAACTTACTGAGTAGCATCTTCCAAATTTAAGTATTTTCATACTAAAAATAGTTTAAACATATTTTAATACACTGTGCGGTAAAAACAAAAAAAACACCACAAATGTTAAAATCTATCCAGTTCTACAGGGCAACTGTGTGCTATGGCCAAATAAAAATTATAATTTCATGTACTCAGCCAAATATTAACTAGAAAATGGTAAATCTAGAGAGAACTTAGAGATCTTTAAGAACACCTTTCTCATAGTAGAGATGAAAACAACAGAAATAAGAAGAGATAAAATGACTTTGTTCAGGTTAAAAAAATTTTTTTAAATATTTTAAATGATCATGAAAACAACTTTTGAAATTTTGTCAGATGCAGTTAAAGCAATGCTTAGAAGAAATTTTATAGCCTTAAATGCTTATATTAGAAGAACAAAAGTATGTATCAATCATTTGTGTTTCCACCTAAATAAGCCAGAGTTAGGAAAATTAAACCTAGTTGATTGAATAAAGTAACAAATATAAAGTTGATTGAAGGAAGTAACAAATATAAAGCTGATTGAAGGAAGTAACAAATATAAAAGCAGAAATCAATGAAATAGGACAAAGACAAACAATAGCAAAAATTAACAAAGAAAGCAGTTGGTTCTTTGAAAAAATAATAAAATTATTAGCAACTTTAAAAAGAGAAAAAACCCACAAATTATAAATAAAAAAGAAGTTATCATTATAGACCCTACATATAGTAAAAGGATAAGGAATGTTATGCACAATTTATGCCAATACATTTGACAATTTAGAAGAAATGTCAAATTCTTTGAAAGATATAAATTACCAAAACAAACACAAGAAAAAAACTGTAATTTGTATATCCATGTATTTATTTTTAAACATTGAATTTGTAATTTAAACTCTTTCCATGAAGAAATATTCAGGCTTAGGTGGTTTCAATTCTTAATTCTCATTTCAGTTCTCAATTCAGTTGAGAGATGGTGAGTTCTTTCAAGCTTTTCAGAAAGAAATAATGCTGGTTTTAACACAGAGTGAGAGGGAAAATTATCAGTATAACCCTGACAAAACCTGACAAAGATTTTGCAAGTAAAGAAAATTACATACCCATATCTGTCATGAACCTAGTTGGAAAATTCCTTTAAATGTTAGCAAATCCAATCCGACGATATAGTAAAAGAGTACATATTAGACCTGAGTTGATTTAATATTAAAAAATCATTTGGGGCACCTGGGTGGCTCAGATGGTTAAGCGTCTGCCTTCGGCTCAGGTCATGATCCCAGGGTCCTGGGATCGAGCCCCGCATCGGGCTCCCTGCTCCGCAGGAAGCCTGCTTCTCCCTCTCCCGCTCCCTCTGCTTGTGTTCCCTCTTTCGCTGTGTCTCTCTCTGTCAAATAAATAAATAAAATCTTTTAAAAAATCATTTAAAGTAATTTACTATACTAAGAGAAAAAAGAATCCTACTATCATGTCAATAGATGCAGATAGGGCATTTGACAAAATTCAAAAGAAACTAATTACAAAAACCTTTTGCAAACTAGAAATAGGGGACCTCTCTCAACATGGTAAAAAGTGTCAATAGCTTTCATAATACTCCCTGGTGAAATACTGAACACTTTCATGCTAAGTTCAAGATATCTGCTCTTACCACTTCTTTTCAACATGGCATTTGTAGCTCTAGCCATTAAAATAAATAGAAGAAAATAAAGTATAGATTGGATATAAATAAAAAGAACTGTCTTCATTTGCAGAAACATGAGCTTCTACAAAGAAAATGTTAAGGAATCTCTGAAAAGCTACTAGAACTGATGAATAAGTTTAACAGAGTTGTAGGATCAATTGTAGTTGTGTATGCTGGCAACAAACAACTTGGAAATAAAAATTTCAATACAATATGATTTATAATAGCATAAAAATAAAAAGTATTTGAGAATATATTTAATTAAATGCATATAAAACCTAAACACTGAAAACCACAGGATATTGTTGAGAGAAGATTTTTAAAGACCTATCTATGTAGATTGAAAGGTATACCACATTAAAGGATTAACATGTTAAGATGTCAATTCTTCCAAAATTGATTAATACACTTAACATAATCTTTATCAAAAATTGTAACAGACTTCTTTGTAGCAGTTGAAAGAGAGCTGATCCTAAAATCAACATGGAAATGTAAGAATCTGAAAACGGCCAAAACAATTTTGAAAAAGACTGAGAAAGTTGGAGAATTTATACCTCCTTATCACATGATTAGAAGAAAGCTAGAGTCGTCAAGACAGTGTGTTATTAACATAGAGACAGGCAAGTAGGCCGATAAAATAGAATAGTGATCCCATACTTATATGGTCATTTGATTTTCTACAAAAGCAACAAAACATTTCAATGGAGAAAGGAAAGTTTGTAAATAGCAAGGAAATGATACTTATTAAATATAGGGGAGAAAAGGAATCTTGTCCCTTATATAAATATTAATTCAAGACTGACCCCAGTCTTAATATAAAACATGACTCTAAAGGTTCTAGAGGAAAACTTAGGAGACTATGTCTCTAATCTTGGGGGTAGCCAAATATTTCTCAGAAAAGACACAAAAGCACTGCCTAAAAAAAGAAAAAAGATAGGCAAAGTGGACAGAGCAAATTTTAAAGCGTCTTCTCTTCCAAAAATACCATGGAGGCAAGCCATAGAGTGAGAGAAAATATTTGTACTACAAATATCTGTCCAAGGGCTTGTTCACAGATTGCATAAGGAACTCCTACAAATCAGTAATTTAAAAAAAAATAAGACTAATTTGATCAGACACCTAATAAAAGAAAATACACAAATGGGTGATAAATACATACAAGTATTCTCATTCTCATTGCTTATCAAAGAATTGTACATTAAAGCACAATGAGATATGTCTACATCCTCACCATAAGAGCTAAAATTAAAAGGACTGAAAATATTAAGTGTTATTGAGGCTGTGGAGCAACTGGACTCCAGTTGCAAGTCCAGGCATTGCAGATGGAAGTATAAGTCATTACAACCCATCTGAAAACTACTGGTTAGCAACCACTAAAGAGAAACTCACTATCCCCTATGACCCAGCATGTCCACCCACAGGTGTATAACTCAGAAAAACTGGTCCTTATGCCCACCAAATGTGGAGTAGTCATAACAGTATTACTTATGATAGCCCAATATTAGAAACAGTCCAATTTACATCAATACTAGAAATGGTATAGTCATACAATGGAATACCATGCAACAATTAAAAAAATGGACTAATAACACAAACAAGGATAAATCTCAAAAAAATACATACTGTATGATTCCATTTATATGAAGCTCCAAACTGGCAAAATTAATCTCTGATGATTGAAATCTGAACAACGGGTGCCTATAGGAAGTGAGATTCACTGGAAAAAGTTAAGGGAATCTCTGGAGGTGGTGGAAACGTTTCATATATTAATTGACTGTTAATTACACAAATGTGTTCAAAATTTATGTTTTTAAGATTTGTACGTAAGTTTTTCCTTGACTTAAAAAAGGATATATCAGAATAAAGGTGCTTCATCAATAACTTGAACCATAAAAAACAAAAACCAGTGTTAAGTCTCTAATAAATTCCAGAGACTCTTTTTTTTTTTTTAAAGATTTTATTTATTTGACAGAGAGAGACACAGCGAGAGAGGGAACACAAGCAGGGGGAGTGGGAAAGGGAGAAGCAGGCTTCCCACTGAGCAGAGAACCCGACGTGGGTCTCAATCCCAGGACCCTGGGATCATGACCTGAGCTGAAGGCAGACGCTTAACGACTGAGCCACCCAGGCACCCCAAATTCCAGAGACTCTTGAAAATTACTGTTAGATATCCACAATATCATGATTTGTATTATCCTTGTCTTTTATTGATTTCAAACCAAATAATACCTTACAGAACCGTGAGAATAGTGAATTTAATGAAATTGAGTCCAGATGTTTTTGAAATTCACTAACTTCTTGAGTTTTCTAGAAAAGTGACTGATACTAATAATGAAGCTTCCAGCA